GTTGATTATGTTTTTTAAATTTTCTAAAATTATTTTCTATTGCTATATGTTAATTGAAAATGGTGCAGAAATTCATTATGGGAATTAGCTGGTGTACAAGTAGCAAATACTACATTCAAAATTACAGTATATTGAGTAATTCAAATATACAATAAATTAACCTAGTAGACTGGAACAAATTAAGACACTATATTTCACAAACAGCAAATTCCCTATATTAAACACAAATTTGTGGAGCTGAACCATCAATTTAATAATAAAATTGGTTAACATGTCACCTGATGAAAGCCTCCATGAATTTACCCCCAAAATGGGAAAAAAATAATGTAAACGGACGATATGTCAATGCTTGAGCACTAATTATTTGTGTGGGGTAAATATAAACCTTATCTTCAACTAGCAATAGTATAATACTGAATATACCATCCAGGATAAAATGACTATTAACTAATTACTTGGTAAAACAAATTCATTAACTATCAGTTAAACTACCTGTCTGGTGATGTCCCAAATGAGTGTTCCTTTTTGAGAACATCTAGTAAAATCCAAGTTTTGACACAATATAAAATATTACATTTATCCTAGTCCATTCTGCAGACGTGCTCAGATCTGACAGAATATAATATTCATGTCATATTTATATATATATATTAATACATTATTTCTCTTTGCTTGTTGGTCCTCCTCATGCACTGCCGTGAAGATCTTTGAAAACAACATACATTGTTCAAAAGTGTGTCGTATGTGTATCAAGTACCATAATGCTATTAATCCTCAATCGTTTTTTGTATAGTCGATAAGGAATACTACAGTTATGTAATTGGTGGAATTAAACAGATGCAGCCACACAAACCGGGTTATGTCGATGATGTTTTTTGTTTTTACGACACCGAAAACTGCCGTTGTGGTTAGTGCACATACTGTGTACTGCAACAAATGTCAGCAGTGGTATACACATTGTTAGGAACACAATACCATAAATGGCAACTGAAGACAAGCCAATAGGCTCACTGCCGTTTAGCAAAGTTGCGTTAATCTCTTTAATAAGCATTTGAATGCCCAAGTAATAGTCTTGATTT